GGTATAACTATTCCCGGATGAAAAATGTGATCTTCTTAACTTCATTGCGGCCGCATTGGCATAAGAGTGTTCTTCATTAACATTAGAGTGTTTATTGACAAGGTCTGCGTCCAAAATTGAGTATCTATTATTATTGTTGAAACCACTGAGATGATTGGATTGTAATCCATTTTTCAGTATGGGAAAGTTGCCATAATCCAATCTTATATCGTCCTTAGGTGTTGGAAAGTCAGGTGTAATTTTCTTTCTGGCTACCAGGAGTGGAATATTTTCTTGAGCCGCTAACGCAACGATTTTTTTCTGTCTGATAACTAGAGGACATTCATTGGATGTCGGAAGGTGGTTTCCATTGCAGTTTATACATCTGGGGGGGACATCTTTTAGATTACAATCCTTAGGGTCTGAGTGAGGAGCCTCCCCACATCTCATGCATCTTGGATTACTTCTGCATGCTTTACTGATATGTCCTACTCTATAGCAATTGTAGCAGATGCGGATCTTGGGTACGTAGCAGGATACGGCATGCTTAGTGTGAAACAAGGAAACAGAGCTTGGCAAAACTTGACCAGCAAACTTGATACAAACCGACTTCGAAGGGACGATTTCAGTTTTTCCGTCCTTGGAGATTCTCCGCATAAGGCGGTTGACCTCGATAATCCTGCTTTGGGAAACCAAATGTCTCTTGATAAAATCTTCTTCTATATCAACAGGAATATCTCTGATGACACCCGTGCGCAGAGTGCGGTACGTTGGAATGTATGCCTTTAGGTTATGTTTCTGTAACAAGTCGCATTTAACAAGGTTATTGGCAGCTGAAGCGGTTTTGAGTTCTACAAGGATTTTACCGCGACCGATCTTCCGACACTCAATAATGTCATTGTACGCTATTAATGATACAATCCGACTAACGTGAAGAGAGTGCAAGGTCGTCTGAGGATCCATAGATATTGAGTGGACGTGGACAGCGTAAGGAGGTAAATCAGCAGAGGCGTAGAAGTTTTCAAAAGCTGTGTTCTTATTTTTGCTATGATTATCCGATTCGTTTCTTACTTGCTGGTTAAGATCCTTTTGAGTCGGCAAGTTCACCACAGCCTGAGTATTATCACGTTTGCCCGACTTGTTTGTTATTGGCGGCAATGGTGTCGAACAGGCTCGTTTACGATGTAAGTTAATGTCTTTGTTGCCAGAATCCAATAAAGTAGAGTGCGGAGAGGCCGTGAGCATAGCTATATCCTCGTCCGTTAACCCTTCCACCACACACCTCCTATTTCAATCATCCACCACACATGGGGTCTACTGGACCCCAATGGCTAGAGCGGCGATTGCGGCAGCAATTTTGACTATTTTAAATTGGCAAAATTCATGGATGTTCTTGAATGTATAAATAAAAAGGTAGAATAGTCGAAAAAAATTAAAAAAATTTTTTAAATTGTTAAAAAAAATAGAAAATGTGAAAGAAAAAATGGAAAAAATGACTTTTTCTACTTAAAAAATCAAGTTTTTTATTTGCCTCTGCTTCTCACCTCATAAGCAACAAACGGGGATGCTCCCCGCGTGATCTGCTTCTAGTAGTGTCGAATAACCGATAAAGGGCACCACAAGTCCCGTTTCAAATATTAAGGTGGTCAAATCGAAGCGCGAACCGGGACTGGGGTCCCTGGGATCCCGTGTGTGGTGGAAGGGTTAAGGATATTTCCATATGGTTAATATGATCATCCTGTACCGCGTCTTGATCTTCTTGCGAAGCGTCAGCTATGGCTTGTGAGACCGCATGTGTACCCGGAAAGCGTTCTTTCTGTAAAGAAGCCTCGATTTTTTTGAGAGAGCGAATCTTTTTACTCACCAAATCACAGATGAAGCGATTCTTTCCATCTTTAATGTTATAAGGCATAGCCCGGGATTTACTTTTACTATTTTTATTCCTATCATGTAAGGAAATATTGGAATCCGGTGGGAAAGGGGGGGGGGGGGAGAGGTTGGCCGGGCTCGACCGACGAGACCGGCATAGTATTCGAGGCCGAGGCCTCACTCATAGTTACGCGGGTCAGAGGACACACTGAGTTTATAAAAAGCGGCAGAAAAATTGATTAGATCCGCACGCGACCACAATACGAAAAGCTAACGTAACACACAAAGACGCTGACGCGATCGAGGATTAGGGAAACACGTCCACATTCTACGATGCGCGGCGCGCGAATCCGCGATACTCTCTTTTGCATGAATATGTATAAATATATATAAACCAAAGTCATAGAGACTGCGACATATGGACTGCGCGATCGGTGTGTCAAAATGGTCGATAGAGATGAGAGAGAGGAACCGTAGCAGACGGCCATTTCTATCTCTTCCCATTCGCTGCGGTCCACTTAGCGCTTCAAACGCTACAGAGCATTTTGTAGCCTAATAAGGGTACATTCCAAAACTTCCTCTTCGAGAAAAATTTTGCTCATTGGCGTTCTAAAACATTGCGAGCGTTTCCGATTGGTTCCTCGTTCATCATTCGGAGCTGTTCCAAAACTGGTAAGAAAGTCTTCGTATTTCCTCCATCGAGTAAAATTCTCACCTGCGTTTGTGTGCGGGAACTACGAGTAAATTGTGATGATTGGTGGAAAAAGTAGATAGGTTGAACACGTGACATTATACGTTATGAGAATGAAACAAGGTTATATTGTTTATAATATATAAACAATATAACCTATATTGTTATATAGGTTATATTGTTTATTTTTATATTGTTTATTTTTGTTATATAGGTTATATAGTTTATTTTTTTCTGAATTTTATTTTGCTAAAGATTATACTTTTGTTAATTATACTTTTATTTTTTATTAATTTTATAAATAACATTTAGAATTAAGATGTTGTTTGACTACTACTAAAGGTTTGGTTACTATAAAAAAGATGGTATATTATATGTATACGAAGACAGGAAATGTACTTTTTTTATAAATAAAAGACTGATTCTTAAATATTTTTTTTAAAACTAATTTTATTTAATTTGTTACATTGAATATTATTCAAATAAACTAACTTGGATGTGGTTATAAAGTGCTTCGAATTAAGTTAATCTATCCTTTAATTACGCTTTCTTTGGCCAGCTGTAACGTTATTATCATTATGAATTACGAGTTCTTCAAATTTTGTTCCTGTACATAAAGATCGTTGTCAATTTCTTCTCCATCTCTAATATATTCTTGAAGATCTTCTTCATTATCATGAAATCCTTGTAGGCATAAATTATGTAGTACACAGCAAGCTAAAATTGTACAAGGGATTTCATTAATAAGATCCATGTGCAAATGTTTCAATCTTCTAAAAGAAGATTGACTTTTCAGAAGAGCAAACGCACGCTCTATTACTTGTCTAGTTCTTGATAGAATATTGTTGAAATCTTTGTGAGCCTATAAATAGAAAAACTGTTAATAAGTATATCCGGACGAGGAAAGGATAAAATATAATCGCTTACATTAAATAATAAAAAGATATTAGCATACTTGAGTCAAAGCACCAGTATCTCTATAAGGTGTTATAAGCCATGTTCTTACTGGCTGATAGCCAGCAAGACTCTCCATTAGGAAACAAAGCACGTTCATTTCTCATTGCGTCTCTATATAATGGAGAATTATGGAGCACACGAACGTCATGGACTGCTCCTGGATAGCCAGCAAAACAGTCTGTAAAAACTAAGGATGCGTCGCAAATTGCTTGAAGTTGGACAGCATATTTTTTCTTACTAGTGCGATATGAAGCAGCATCAAACTAAACATAAATACTTATGCTACTTAATCAAAAACTTTATAATGTTAATTTTTTTAATAATACAACTTTTGTATACCTTTGGAGCTTCTATTTCTATGTGACAGCCATCAATCGCACCAATAACATCAGGCATGTTAGCCTTTGCATTGAACTCATTTTTTATCCTATTTATATTATTGCCTTCTGGCCAACAAATTACTTCAGAGGAAATATCACGTAGAGCATGAATTACACGTAGAAAATAACGATGCAATGAGGCTTTACCTATTCCAAATTGTACTTCCATTGACCTATGCAGCATAATATATATATTAGTATTCATCCAACATAATAAATATTATACATATACATATATATATGCCACAGTCAAAGCGTTAACTTAGCAAATGTATACAACTACTGTTTGCTATAGTCAATGTATATATTTACTATAATAAATTTTACATGAATGTATACATTGATTAAAAAAGAAAAGAGTGTACACTTTGACTCTAATACACACACACACACACACACACACACACACACACAATCTTCAAAAAAGCCTTCCAACCTAGGCGGAGCGAATAAAGATCCACGTAGATGAGACATTTTTTCAACGAGTAACAATGTCATCATTTCTTCATCATCATCGTCACTCTCTTCTACAATAACAGACGTGTTACGAAGAAGCGATAGTACAAAACCGAGTGAAATATTTCGTCGCGTCATTATCAGTTATATACAATAACCAGTTTCTGCTTTTCGAACGTTTCCCTTTTATCCTCTCAATTCTATCGTAAAGCGTTCCAAAAAACGAATTACTCTCATATCCTCGTGTGCATTCAGGTATTTTCGCTCATTTACCTACCGTTTCCTCCAATAACAGTTTTGGAATGTACCTTTAGAACATATACTACTGGAAGGGGAATTGCCTATGCTACCCGTATACCAAACGCATCGACATCTAGAATGGACCGCTGATGGCAATGGTGGGGGTAGAAAGACGATTAGAGTGAGAGGCAGGAATAATAAGATCGTTCTTTCTCTGTTTACTGTTGTTTCTAACAACCTGATTGGTTGTTGGATTAACAACAACCAATCAGGCTTCAGTAAACAGAGAAAGAACGATCTTATTATTCCTGCCTCTCACTCTAATCGTCTTTCTACCCCCACCATTGCCATCAGCGGTCCATTCTAGATGTCGATAACCAAACGTGATGCCAACATGTGTGCGAGAGAGAAAGGTGCGCATGCGTCAGTATCATCGTCTGTGTGAATTGTACAGTTGTAGTGTTCTCACACAGTGAGATTCACTTCGTATGTATGTACGTTCGTAAGGCCGACATAAAAACAGCATAAAGTAAAAGTAAATATGCCGAGCAATAGTAAATATTGTTTATTGTGTGGTAATCGCGGAACTACTGCAGTTTCTTATTACTCGTAAGTTATTGTATGTAATATTTTATTAAGGCATTAATTATATAATAACATGTAGGTTATGTTTACATATGTTATGGATATTTAATAGAATGGACCAATGCACAATGAAGGAATTAGGAATAAAAAGGATGAAATATTAGATATAAGAAATCAATTTAATAGTCGTAAACATGGCCGACCATAGGTACACGAATTCCGTAATTACAGAAAATAATTCTGATATTCAATACGTTCAAAATGACGTTGAAAATGAAAATGTGGGTGAATTTAAAGAAGGAGATGCGTTATTAATTGACTTAATAAGATCATACCCACATTTATGGAACAAAGAAGATAAAGATTACAAAGATATAAATAAATGTGATAATTCTTGGCAAGAAATAGCTACTGTAATGAATCTACCTGGTAAACATCTTTTTATTAAAAAAATAAATATTTGTATATGTTGAAATAAAATATTGCTTGCTTTGACCGTTTACATTATATTAAAATGTGAGAATTTCTCATGCATTAGAGGTTATAATTTGTGTTATAAACGCTGTTAAGTAATGTATATTTATATATTATATACTATATCTACACTTTTTAGTAAAGGAATGTATAAGCCGATGGTGTAGATTACGACAGTATTATTCAAAGGAAAGACAAAGCCAAGAAAATATACCAAGTGGTTCTGCACGTAGAAATAAGAGACCATGGGAATTATACATATGAGCAAATGTCATTTATAGACAAGCATATACACAAAAGAAGGTAATATTCCTTTTTTTTGCTAAAATTGTAAATTATTTGCTATAAACTTGTTAATAGTTTTATTTTGATTGATATGTGAGTTGATATATCCAAAATTTGCCTACTTCATAAAAATATATTTTACCCTTTTTATACAAGAAAAACAGAACTTGATTAAGAGATAATATAGATGCTTTTCAACAATGTATGTACAAAGCAACACTAACAAAAGAATGTACAATCCGGTACTTCCCAACTATGACACAAGTCGACACAATCGTAACCAAGAAGACTAGAACCAGGAGAGTCAACTCGGCGTAAAAGCGGTAGTGGGGGTGAGGCAAGAAGTGGAAACGAACGACACCCCCCACTCTTGCGCTTCATCCTCTCGGTTGCTCTACATAGTCGGTTTCAATTCGTGACTGCGCATGTCAACGTACTTTGTTTCTGTTTGATTATTTATGCATTTATTAATTCCATGATATATATTTCCAAAAAATCATACGTTTATACAATTGATTGAGTGTTAAAACTTTATAAGTTTTCAGCAATATTCCGATACAAATGTGGCACTATTAACACACGGTACTTATCGCCAATGATTTCACGTTTCATATGTAATTTGATTATATACGATTTCATTATTAATTGTTTCGCAACAATATTGAGGGCTTATTACAGTTACATTTATTTCAGCAAACGAATCTTATAAAACAATTAATTTTTAGAATAGTTTTTTAAATTTTATACTTCGAAAAAGAAATTATGCTTTTGTTTAAAATTTCAAGCATTCTTGATACATAGGTTTCAGAAGTTGGCTGATCCCACTGCATCCAGGTTAATTCCTCGTTGCGATGATAAACTTTTACATTCATATTAACGTCGAGAACAACTATCAAGAAGGTTGTGAGGTCATCTTCTGATCGAATGAATGCAATGCAATGATTTTGTATGATCATAGTCCAATCTGTACCTGGCAGTTCAATATTCTTGGAGTTTTCCTTTATACGCAAAAACAAACCGCTTTCCTTCGAATCATACATATTTCAATATATGTTATTCCAACGACAACGAAAATATGCCTTTAAAACTCCTTCAAACGTTAATAATATTCTGTAAATAAAAAAAAATTACTGTAATCATGTTCCAAAAGTTGTATACAATACAGGATTTGCCTATAAACAAGTTATAGCGTTCATTTAATGACCATCATGTGCAGTATAATTTCTTTTTACAACTTACATTCTTTTTTTTCTTCTGCTGTTTACTCCTTGATTGGATTTCCGAATTCTGTTTTATTTGCAAGTGACAATGTTACGTTAAGATTATAGCCACCAAGAAGACTAGAACTTCTTGGTTATAGCTCACAACCGATGCGCGCATGCGCAAACTTTGGGACGATGCTCAGTGAACTACTGAGCATCGTCCCCAACAGGGGATACAAGTTGAACTCAGCTATTAACTCTGTTACGATCAAGAAGACTAGAACCAGGAGAGTCAACTCGCGTGGTGGGGGTGAGTCAAAAAGCGTCACCCGCTGCTTACCCTCAACCCCTGTTGAGGACGATGCTCAGTAGCTCACTGCACATCGTCCCCAACAGGGGTTGGGGATAAGCAGCGGGTGACGCTTTTTGACTCACCCCCACCACGCGAGTTGACTCTCCTGGTTCTAGT